GGTTTGAACTGCCAGCCTTCTGGTTAGCAGGCAAGTGTCTTAGCCACTATGCTACCAGAGCTCCTTATAAATATATAGAGAGATTTAATTCAAGGGAATAGCTCCTGCAGTTATGTAGGTTTACAAATCCAAAATCAGCAGGCCAGATGGCACAGGGCAGCAGGATCTGGAGAATCTCAAAATCTGTAGGTCATATGGTGGGCTGCCAGCTTATGTCACAAGAACCAGAGGTCAGAGGACAACAAGTCAGATACAGGATCCAGAGAGAGAATGCTCTGCCAGAACATCCATATACATTGGATGCAAGGCATACCCTCAAGGAAACTGACTGGCTTTAAACTGGCTGACTTTTAAATTTTCAATGTCATCACAAAACGATGATTACAATATATTACATGATGGAAGAGAAATCAGTCCAATGCCTGCCAAACCACTGAGAATCATAGTCTAGCCAAGTTGACACATAATATTAACCATCACTGTCCACCCCTTGTCAACCTGGCACCTGTGCACATCTCCTTAATCCACACATAACCTCTAAACAGAGACAATGATAAAGTCAGCTTGCACCTAACATGATACAACTAACCAGAAATGCACTACCCCCATTTATATCTTACATTTTCTAAGTAATGGGATAAGGGGAAGAAAACCAACAGTATTTCCCATATGTATGTATACATACACATACACATATAACAAAACAGGGAAGAAATATTTATAACAATTATATACTCATTTCTGCAACTAGTCAAGTGGTCTTAACTGATATTTAGAACTACCTTCTTCCACCACTCATTCCATATTCTCTTTACCCTGAGCAAGCCCCTCAATTGACTGTGGTTCTCTGCCTGATGGGATGATTCACACATTCATTCATGATGGGTCCAGGCCATTAGTAGTCATGTCAGAATTGGGTCGCTGTCGTTTTCCATTGACTTTTATCACTGGGCATGGCAATACTAAGAGACACCCTAAGGGATTTCCAATATTCTAGACATACTCTTCTTTACTTCCATCATGTAATACCAATCCAATTTTCCCTTGGTAATCAGGATCAATCACACTAGACAGTACAGTAACTCCCTTCTTTGCCTGTTGATCCAGAGGCATGAGGAGTCCAAAGTGGCCAGGTGGCATTCTTAACCTCCAGTTCAATGGAATCAGTGTTGTGCCTCCAGGTAGGAGTATTCCTCCATTTGGTACTAAGACCCCCAGACCCTCAGAGCACTGGGTCACAGGGACAGAAAACAAAATTTTACAAGTGGTCACTAGGGATAAAAGTGAGTGGTACCATTTCCATTTCTACCCTGACTCATGGACCCATAAATCTTGGGTATGGGAGAAACAGCACCATATACTGGATACTGGTTTAGAACATATACAATCTCCTGGAGAACACTGCTTCAACCCTGCCACCTAGCTAATACCATATAATTGTGTCTTTAAAAGGTCATTCCATTGTTCCATCAAGCCAGCTGCTTCAAGACGATGGGAAACATCCTAAGACCAGTGAATTCCAAGAGCCTGGGTCCACTGTCACACTTCTTTTGCTGTGAAGTTAGTCCCTGGATTTGAGGCAATCCTGTGTGGAATATCGTGATAGTAGATAAGGCACTCTTTAAGTCCATGGATGGTAGTTTTGGCAGAAGGACTGAATGCAGGGAAGGCAAAACTGTACTCAGATTAAGTATCTATTCCAGTAAGAGCAAAACACTGTCCTTTCCATAATGGAAATGGTCTGATATAATGAGCCTGTCATCAAGTTGCTAACTGATCACCCCAAGGAATGGTGCCATGTTGGGAACTCAATGTTGATCTCTTCTGCTGGCATACTGGTCACTCAGCAGTAGCTGTAGCCATGTCACCCTTGGTGAATTAAAGTCCACGTTGCTAAGCCCATGCATAACCTCCATCCCTGCCACCATGGCCACTTTATTCATCAGCCTATTAGGCAATGAAAGGCATGGCTGGGGACAGACGATGACTGGTTTCCACAGAACATGTCATCCTATCCACTTGATCGTTAAAATCCTCTTCTGCCGAAGTCATCCTTTGATGATGAACACTCACAGGAGTTATAAATATCTTCACTTCTCTAGCCTATTCAGGGAGGTCTATCCATATGTCTCTTCCCCGTAACTCCTTGTTACCAATTTTCCAATCACGTTCCTTCCAAGTCCCTGATTATGCAGCCAAACCACTGGCCAGAGCCCATGAATCAACATGCAATTGTACATCTGGCCATCTCTCCTTCCAAGTAAAATGAACAACCAGGTGCACCGCTCACAGTTCTACCCACTGGGAGGATTTCTATTCACCACTGTCCATCAGGGAAGTCCCAGAA